TAAATAAATAAATAAATGGCTTGAATTGTACAGCGTGGTTGAAACTCGCATGTTCAAAATCAATAGAACCAAACGCCGTCAATATACTGTCTTTCGAAGCCAAAATTGATCAAGCCGCCTGTTGCAAATGTCTGAAACACCCTTCACAAGAATCTTACATTTATAGGAACGCAAAGAATGCGGCTTGCACAGGAATTTATTGCACAGGAATTTATTGCACAGGAATTTATTGCACAGGAATTTATTGCACAGGAATTTATTGCACAGGAATTTATTGCACAGGAATGTATCCCGGGCAACTCGTGTCCACGTGACTTTGGTCATATGGAAACCAGGACACATGAATGGACGTTTGGGAGAATGAAAACTGCTGTGGAACTCACAAACTATCACGAGTGTTTCTACAACTCGATAGAAACACGGAGAACAAGTTTTCTATCTTTAAGAAAATTCAGCGACAAAAAAAGAAAACAACTTGTTTACTTTGATTATCACAATGTAAATTCTCTTTGCTCGCGCCATCATTACGTCAGCGCGCGTATCTTTGTTTTGTTTTTCTAATCAACTATGGAAGTGACTAAATTTTCATAAGTAAGAGTCAAATCGTATATTTGCCTACAAACATTGTACAAACCTCTTGAAGGTATTGTGTTTTGATCCACAATGTATAGAAAGAACGCTATTGTCTCTTGATGGCTTCTGCAGCCCGTCATCGTGATGTCAAGAAAACGTGATCCACAATGTATAGAGCGAATGCAAAGTCAAATTCCAGCGGTCAAACCCAACAATTCAACAGCTCATCCGGTTTTCTTTGGCTTGAAGTTTGTGAGAGTTTGAAGCAAAGACGTACAGGAAAGAGATCTAGTTAAAAAGTTTGGATTGGTTTATTAATCTTGCTAACATCTAGAACAATAAAGCAAACTCAAAAAGTTTTCTTTCAAACAATCAGTTACGCTTCCATTGATATTTTTTTTTTTTCGTCTATTGATATGCAAGTGTTTTTTAACAGGTAATTAAGCCCGCCCACCCACGCGTTAAAAGAACAAGTTGTTCCCTCATAGGTCCGTTGAACTGACGATCTGCTATTGTGTTTCTCAATGAACTACCTTAAAACTGCAATAGTGTTTCTTGGTCGTACCTATTCCGTTCTTGTATAAAACATTTCAAAAGTTTTATACAAGAATGGACAATTGCAATCACATAAACTTCAGGCCAATGAAAACCGGATGCACTGTTGGAGTTTTGGGTTTGACTGCTATGACAACCTCGTTCTCAGGGTCTCTCATCTTCGATGTCACGCAATCTCAATAAATTTTCGTATTTCGACATATAGACGAAAGCACAAGGAAAAAAATGGCGACTGGCACATTCAAACATGATTTTAGTACACGAAAACCGTAACAACGCTCCTAAAAAAAAATATAGAAAAGTTTTAAAATCTTCAAATCTAGTATGCACAATGGCGTTAGCACAGGGAGAAATATTGCAAAAATATGGCTTCCGTTGTGCCCTATGGGCCGTGTTAAGTTCGCAAGGTATTGTGCTAAAATGTACAGCCGCCATCTTTTTTTCCTAGAAAGGATTGAGCATGCGGCCTTCGCAACAGGAAGCGGTAAAAGACATTCTCGTCCCAAAGCCTCTGTTTCGGCTTTTGGTCACTTGGTCAGTGAAACGGAAGGCGTGTATTGCTTTGTAATTTGCATTTCTGTTGCGCATTCATTTTTCGTCAACCTATGAAAAAGTTCAATTTTTTCGAGGGAGTCCAGAACCACTCGACTCAACCACTGGGGACAACAATGGGTAAAAGAAGGAAGAGAAATATTTCGCCGTTTGCCATTTTCTCACTCGCATCCGTAGGGGTTAACCCTAGCCCTAAGAATAAGAGGAGAACATTGAAAATCGATCAGTTTCACATCCTATTCAAAAAGAGCTAAAAGCACAGGTGTTCAGAGATGTGCTCAGAGCAGTATGCATGGCCCTGCAACTTTACCCTAGCTCTTTACTACTCGCTTAAAATTAGGTCGAAAAAGATTTTGTGTTATTTAAGGACCTGACATAAAAAAGGGCTCACCTACCATGAATCCCTTGCTATTAGAAAAAAAAATGAGAGAAACCATGCAGATGTGATTTTCTCAGTGCACGAGACTTAACTGGCGGTCTGTCTACTTGTGGTAAGGACCCTGCAAACTAGTTCCACCCTCTGTGGACTACTTGGAATAAAAAGACAGAGAATATAATTTAACCAGGCTACAGTTTATTCGTGTCTTACAGATCGTGAAACAAGACTTCTGACAAGCACAGAGGGTAAAAATTTCTTGTCTTGATCGTTATGCAGTAAGATAGAACAGAAGAAAATAACTAGGTCTGATTAATGACATGCGAAAACATTTTGTAAGGTCAATTCCAGCCTTTAAACTGTAGCAAAGAGTGTTCTTAACAAGTCCTTTCGACAAAGTTGAACCGATAAGTCAGGAATGATGTTTTGACGTCTTTAGACGTTTATACCCTGTCTTTATGAATCAATTCCTTTACCAGCTCTGAGTGCTGGAACTCTGTGGGGTCTGTACATTGGAACTCGGTAGTTAGGCCGGTGAAGCATTTCTTCAGGGCATCTTTTGAGCTCGCGTAGATCATCTTCTCGCCAACACTTACTTCATCGCTGCACCTGTCAATGAGCCAAAGACTGTCAGTCGATTGCTGTTCTGCGCAAAAAAGTTCGCAGGGGACAAATAACTCATTGGCTCTGGCGCCTACTCCGCATTCCGTACATTAGTATGGAAAAATTAGGAGTACTTGTAATCCCCCTGGATCTAAATTGAATATATCATAGGTTTTCCCCAGAATGTTTTGTTAGCTTTCCCCAAGCCATTTATAGTCTTGGGTAGAAATAGATGCGTTTTAAGCAATGAGTAGAAGAGTAGAAGTCTCCCTGCACATAGAGCAACCCAAACAACTGTAAACAAGAAAGCCATCATACACGTATTTCTTGATGTAGCCATTAATTACCGTGATGCGTCACCAAAGAACCGAAAAGCTCTTGAAAAGATATATAATACTTCACTTTATACAGTCATGAAAGGTATTCCTTACCAAGAAATAAACACCAATTTCTGTGCTACGGACTGGTTTGGTCTGGTATAACAGAAGTCGAACAGGATGTAACGCGGCTCGTTGCCGAACTTCCTCTTCATGTCGTTAAAAATGTCTTCATTCCTAGACTGTGTACAGTTCTGAGGAAGTTTATCACCCAAGCGATCCACGACTATCTTCTTTTTGTCTCTTATCTTCATCACCACGTATGCATGCCTTTTTTTTAACTTGGTGTCGTTAAAAGCATCGATGACATTTTGATCAACACCAACTCCTGAAGACTAGAAAAAAAATAAAAGGGTTGTGCCAATATGATTTTATACCATGAGTCAAATTATTCTCGCTTTTTGATTGGTTCTTACTTGTGATCAATTGGAAGACAGTTCAAACAATTAGATTTCATGTTGTCGCGCGGTCTGTTACGTAACAGATCACCGAAGGCGTCAAAAGGTAGTATCTCTTTACCAGACATACATGGTTGCCACAGACATAACTGTACAAAATTCTTTTTCTATTCCATGACTTTTCCCTGATAAAAATATAATTCCCTAGCTGCCAAATAAATACGGAATACCACATGTAGTAGCTGCTTCTAGCCTCCCCTGACAGCTGTCCTTTCCATCCATTAATTTTACACTGATTATTTTTCAGCAGTTTTCAATTTTAATTTAGATCAGTTTGAGTGACCCAAAATTTTTCTTCCAGCCTTTATAGACTTTTACAATGTGTATTTTTCCTGCACCAAAATGAAATTTCATGATCATTCCCGGACCTTGAAGATTTTTTCCCTGGCCATATCCTGACCTGTGCAATCCTTACGTGAGAATACAATTTTGGGCAAGTTATTTCACAAGGGCAATCCATGAAATCACTGATAATCACTTCGTTTTAATTTGCGGCGCCATGCTTGCAAATGTGCCTACTGAATCCCTACTGAGGTTGTTCAAGACCACACAGGTAACGTGGTACAAATTGAAGGAATTCTCCCATTGAACAACCTATGACAAATCTTTGGCAAGGTCTGCTTCAAGCCAAATGTCTACATCGCTAGAACTTATTCCGGATTCTGTAGCCCTGATCGACCCAAAAGGGTATTTATGCTCTCTCCCGCCCNCTTCCCCATGAATAGGATGTCAGTCCATCGCAGGGTTATTTCCAGCATTAAATTCAGTTCGCCGGTATTCATTTAGACACCTCGGTAAAGAAAAGCACTGTGAGAGAGCGTTTCTTGCTAGCATTAAATTACAAGCGACGAAACGAATTTTTCCTCTGATTTAGCTTCACTCTTTCTCGTGCATCCCCTTCAGTGCTTTTTTATAAGAGCTAAATATCAGTTTGAATAAATTCAGAGGAAAATTAAATGTACTCACCATCTTCTTTGCGGATCAAAATCGCTCTGAAAGAAAAGTAACCAATGCTTAAATTTAAGTCAGAATATTTCCAGATTCCATTCGCCATTGCTAAGCCTTATCTTAAGTGTGGAACGTCTTCAAAGTTTGGTAAGGTGAATTGAAATAGTGATTCCTTTCGTGTTGTGTTGTTTTGACTCTTTTTCTTGTGTACAGTTAAATAGATTAAAATTATCGACGAGTTCACGTATTAAAGCTTAGTTCAGCTCGCGCCCAAGTTCAGTCTCGATTTGATTTTCTTGTTCTATCATCCTCGATTAGTCCTACTTCGGGCTCTTCAATTTTCCGTTTATGTTTAGCCGGAAGATGAGATAGTTTTAACTTAAGCCATATTCTAAACCTAAGGTACTCACTTGAAGAACTCGTTTTTCTTCAAATCACGAGAAAGAAAACTGACCTACCTTGGTTAGAATCCGGCGGGGTAGTTAAGAACGACAGAGTATCTGTGACGTGTATTTATCAGCTTATCAAGCGAAGATTTAATTAATTAGTGATGTCAGAAAGAAAAGCTGCATATCTAATTGCTCAATATAAATGCTGTTATAAAACACAAAGAAAACTTCACTTCACTTGCCAAGTTCACAAGTTTCCCGCCATTTCGCCGCGCGCGTCTGACTAACCCCGTGATTTGACAGCGTGCAATGATTGGTTAAAGTTTCGAGTGGTATTGGAGTCAGTTCAGTTTAACGTTTTTCCTCCTGCACGATGCACTCACACTTAAGTCAAAGAAAGCACGACGTTTGAACAGGGTCTTGCAGTATTTCATACTGGCCGAATTTTTTTGTTCCGTAAAGTTGCTTTTGTGACTTCGACATATTCATGGACAATAAGTCTCATTTCTATCAAATTTCATACAATCTCAACCATCATATAAAAAGGTTGAGTGTTTTCTAACCATGTATGGGGGTGGGGTGGGGTTGAGGTTTACATAGATGTCTGCATGACTTCTTCTCGGGTCGGTAAAAGCGTACTGTAGCTATGTAAAAGGGGTAACATTTTCTATAGAAGGTAAATTAAAGGGTTACCTTTTCTGTCAAAAATGGTAAATAAAAGGCCGAGCGTTTAGACCAAGGGACGGAGCCTCCCCATAGTCCTCCCCATCGTACCTCTCCGGGGGGAAACGTTGGTTGGCTGTGACCAGCGGTATTCCAAGAAAATTCAACATGGCTTCCTTCTGTGAAAATGGCGGGTAACACAAATATTCTATTTTGTTTCAGTTATTACCTGCAACTGTGGTAATGTACACTCTTGTAAATCGAGATGAAGGTAGTTCAGTGTATAATTTTGTCAAAGAATTGTTGTTAACTGCATCATCGGCGAACAAACAGTGGAGCCAAGCCCATCAAGATTACGAGCGATTCAACTTGATGCTCGGTGAGAGAAAACCAAAGGGTTTCGACTACACAAGAATAGGTAAGCTTGATTAGCTCAATTAATCCTTCTCACATTTTTCAAGGAGTGCTTTCTTGTAAAAAGATTTTTCTAGCAGTCTGTGATCGCCTGTAGGTCGATCGGAAGGATTGTCCACATGTATATGCTAAAAAAACAAAACAAAAAAACAAAAACAAAAATATGTCAGATTGTTCATTATTATGTACCGATCAAATATATAACACCCCTGCGGGCATGACCCTGGCACGGAATTTGACAAGTCGATGTGTCCTGGGAGGCGGGAATTCGAGATCAGCAGTTGATATGGAGGTGGG